TCCTGCTATTTGCCACAACATGGATGAATCTGATGGGCAATATGCTAAGAGAAACAGAAAGAAAAATATTGCATGATCTCACTTACATGTGGAATCTGGAAAAAAAAAACGTTCAAATATACAGAGATAGAAAATAAAACAATAAAACACTGGGTGGGTGTAGCAGAGGAACTAGGTCAGAGGATGTAGTATAACATGTAGGATGAACAAATGTAGAAATTTAATACATAGTGTGAGAACTGTAAGTAATGAAGTTGTACTGTATTTGGGATTCCTGCCAAATAAGTAGATTTTAACTGCGCTTGTCACAGAAACAAACAAAATGGTCAGCTATTCGAGATGATGGATATATTAAGTTGCTTCATTATAGTAACATTTACATACATTTTGCTATATGTATCCCATACATCATGTGATATATCTTAAATATACACAATGAAATGTTCTTTTAGAAGAGCAATAGAAAAATGTATACTAAACAAACGTAGTTAAACCAGCCCCTGTACTGTGCCATGCCATAACTACCTCATAATGTGGTTGTTAGATCAGATAATCTACAGAATTTTTAGTACTGTCCTCCATGCATATTAAGTACCCAATAAATAAAACTCTTATGTTTCAAGACCTTGTTTCCTAATGTACTTAGTTTTTTCCCCCCATTTTGAGCGGATATAGTAAGGACTGTGTCTTTTGAACCATTGTATGTATTTGTCTCATAGGTTGATTTTTCTGTAGCTTCCATATTTATACATTTAATCCTTTTTCTTATCCTTTCTGTTTTCATTTAATCTGACTGCTATAGCTGCTGTTATCTCTTATTTTGAATCTGCTTTTTGCTTATGATAATGTGTGAATGATTTTATGCAGAAGTAATGTCTTCTGTAATGTTTCTGAACTAAATGGCATTCTTTTTGTTTTCTCCTGGGCTTTTATGAAAATTTTCAGAATTCTTGTTTCATAAATTATTATCCATATAGTGAATACAGATTTCCTCCATCATACATCAGTTGTCTTAACATGAGAGGTTTTTTATAGAATAGGTGGGGATGTAATTATTTACAAAATAATACTAAATATCTAGTTAGAGAATCTTTGATCCTTTGCATTGTATGACAGTGTGTTGTACATTGGTTAAACAGCAGTTAGGGACTTCTCAAAAGACTATTGTGTTTTGCTCTGCCTATGATGTTTCATTTAGCTTTTCGGGAATTACCATTGCCTTTGTTGGACCAAAGAAAAGGATGAATATCAGTCTTTAATGTTAAAAATAATTAAATTATTTTAATCAATTAAAATGATTGTGGCTCCCACCTGTAATCCCACCCTTTGGGAAGCTGAGGTAGGAGGATTGATTGCTTGAGTCCAGGAGTTCAAGACCAGCCTGGGCAGCAAAGGGAGACCCTGTCTCTACAAAACAAAACAAAATTAAATTAGCTGGGCATGGTACCTGTGGTCCTTGCTGCTCAGGAGGCTGAGGCAAGAGGATGGCTTGAGCCCAGGAGGTCGAAACTGCAGTGAGCCGTATTACACCACTGCACTCCAGCCTGGGTGACAGAATGAAACCCTGTCTTTAAAAAAATTGTATTGACTCGGGGAATACAAAACTAGTTTCCCTAAACAAACAGAATTGGTAATTTTGGACTGAATTTGGCCTACTGCCCATATGCTGGTAGGTACTTTTATACCTGGGGAGTAGTAAGCCTTTCAGAATTTACTAAACTTAATAAGGGTATCAGGTAGGCTTTTCTTTTTTTTTTTCTTTTTTTTTCTCCATTAGAACATGGGAATATAAAATTTGTTGTACTTATTTTGGTGTGTAGCAATAATGCCAACTATCTGTATCATCTTTTCTCAATATTGAATATGGGGCTTAATTCTGGGAATTTTAAAATAATCCTTTTGTGATAAACTTTGCCTGATATTAACAAAATTGTGTAAGTACTTGCAAATTAAGTAATAATTTCTTCATAGCAAGTCATCTGAAAAAATGGACTACCAAGGAAGTTAACTACTAGAGATGGAAGGTAGAAATTAATTTTGGTTTTATTTCTGTATTTATTACCATTCTTTCCTATCTCTTTGAACAGGTTGTTCCCTTCAGCAGCTTTTGATGAAATACAGGAGGATAATTTGTAACTTGAGCAATTGTTGTAAATTAAAAGTAGTAGGAAAGTTACATCCCAGATTAATGACAGCCATGTTGTGTTGTTTAATAGGCAGTGAAATCAACTGTGCAGACCATCACTGTTGGAGGAGTGAGCACATCACAGTTTAAGACAATTATTCCTTTGGCAACTGCTCCCAATGTCCAGCAGATTCAAGTGCCTGGAAGCAAGTTTCATTATGTCCGACTTGTTACTGCCACATCAGCCAGTAGCTCAACCCAGCCAGTTAGTCAGAATCCCAGTACAAACACTCAGCCTCTTCAGCAAGGTTAGTAACCATTTTTTTAAAAAAACAGTAATTCATGCTTTTAACATGATTAAAGAACATTTGTCCATTTCTTGCTGAAATCCTGATGAAGAGTGGCATTTCAACTGAGTTTGAGCCAGTAACTGGTGCAGAAAGCAGTGAAATAGAATGATAGTTGTGTGTAACTGTAATATTCTCTCTGCTAGCAATAGTTACACCGTGTGCTGTTATACCAGATAATAATAATTATTCGTTAATTTGTGGTTAGCCATTTTATTGCTGGTTTTAAAACCTACCATTTATGCCAGTGAGATACATTTAGATGGAACAAAATTATTTGCTAAACTATAAAGCTCCTTGATAGGGTTTGGGTCAGTTGAAATGACAAATAGGCAAGGTATAATTAAGAACTTAATATCACTTTCAGCTTTTACTTATTTTGAATTTATAATTGCTAATAAAAAAGTGATTAAGGCCAGGCATGGTGGCTCATGCCTGTAATCCCAGCACTTTGGGAGACCGAGGCAGGTGGATCACCTGAGGTCAGGAATTCGAGACAAGCCAGGCCAATGTGGTGAAACCCTGTCTCTACTAAAAATACAAAAATTAGCCAGGCATGGTGGTAGTGCCTGTAGTCTGAGATACTCGGCAGGCTGAGGCAGGAGAATCGCTTGAACCCAGGAGGCAGAGGTTGCAGTGCAGTGAACTGACATCGCACCACTGCACTCCAGCCTGGGCGACAAGAGCAAAACTTTGTTTCAAAAAAAAAAAGTTAAAAGGCCAGGCACAGTGGCTTACACCTGTAATCTCAGCACTTTTTGAGACCAAGGTGAGTGGATCACCTGAGGTCAGGAGTTCAAGACTAGCCTGACCAATGTGGTGAAACCACATCTACCAAAAATACAAAAATTAGCCAGGCATGGTGGCGTGCACCTGTAGTCCCAGCTAATCAAGAGGCTGAGACGGAAGAATTGCTTGGACCCAGGAGGTGGAGTTTACAGTGAGCCAAGATTATGCCACTGTACTCTAGCCTGGATAACAGAGCGAGACTCTGGCTCAAAAAAAAAAAGGCCGGGGCATGGTGGCTCATGCCTGTAATCCCAGCAATTTCAGAGGCCGAGGTGGGCGGATCACCTGAGGTCAGGACTTCAAGACCAGCCTGGCCAACATGGTGAAACCCTGTCTGTACTAAAAATACAAAAATTAGCCAGGCATGGTGGCGGGCACCTGTAATCCGAGCTACTTGGGAGGCTGAGACAGGAGAATCAGTGGAACCTGGGAGTTGGAGGTTGCAGTGAGCTGAGATCTTGCCATTGCACTCCAGCCTGGGGAACAAGAGTGAAACTCCGTCTCAAAAAAAAAGTGATTAAAAAGTTCTATTTATTTTGCTTGGTTGTCTTTTCCCTAAAGGATATTCCTGTTTGTTGTCCTTCTATTTTCTGTTTGTGTTTAACCCTTCTTACCACCTCATACACATCCACAGACACATAAATAACCTTTTTCATATTTATCTACTTTTCTAAAAATTGAGGGATATGAAAGGATCAGAATAGTTTATAGTTTACGGCTTAAATTTTTCTTTGGAAGTGTTTTATTGTTTTATATTTTAACAACGTCAAGAAGCAATTGATGGCAAGTGAATGATATATTGTTTATCAAAAGTAAATAAAAGAATTAAAGACACGTTGGTTACTATTTGATTTTTACTAAGAGATCAGAGGGTAGGTTGGGTGCAGTAGCTCACGCCTATAATCCCAGCACTTTGGGAGGCTGAGGCGGGAGGATCTCCTGAGATCAGGAGTTTGAGACCAGCCTGACCAACATGGAGAAACCTCGTCTCTACTAAAAATACAAAATTAGCTGGGCGTGATGGTGCATGCCTGTAATCCCAGTTATTTGGGAGGCAGAGGCAGGAGAATCACTTGAACACAGCAGGCAGAGGTTGCAGTGAGCTGAGATCATGCTGTTGCACTCTAGCCTGGGCAGCAAGAGGGAAACTCTGTCTCAAAAAGAAAAAAAAAAAAAGGAAGAATAAAACCTATTTATTTCTCTTTCAAATTACTGAAGGGAGAAAACAGAGTAAGCAGTATTTTAGTACATATCCTATTAAATTAGATACAGCAATCAGTTATATTTTCTAATTCTTTTAAAAACTGATTTTGAGGCTGGATGCTGTGGCTCATGCCTGTAATCTAGCAATTTCAGAGGCCGAGATGGGCGGATCACCTGAGGTCAGGAATTCACCACCAGCCTGGCCAAGATGGTGAAACCCTGTCTCTACTAAAAATTACAAAATAATTAGCTGGGCGCGGTGCCACATGCCTGTAATCCCAGCTACTCAGGAGTCTGAGGCAGGAGAATTGCTTGAACCCAGGAGGTGAAGGTTGCAGTGAGCTGAGATCGTGCCACTGCACTCCAGGCTGGGTGACAGAGTGAGACTATCTCACAAAAAACAAACAAACAAACAAACACTGATTTTGAAATAAAATCATTATCATAATATTCTTAATGAGGGGAAAAGTGAAACATTCATATTGCTGACTAAGGGAGTCAAATTTTATATTCTCTCAATACTTAACTTAGCAGGGTACTGAGAGAAGTGCTGTAAGTCCAGTCTGCTTAGGTAGTATGATGATAGAAAGCAGTCATTGGATACAATTGATTGTATTTTATGTGTGTGTGTGTATGTGTATAATAGTATGCTGAGAATCCATATGATGGATTAAACCTAATTAATGTTAACCATTCATTCATTAGCAAGAATATGCCTATGGTATAAGTAAGATAAAGGAGCTGAAGATCCAAGGAGAATGGCGGAATAGGATGGACATTCAGAATTCAGTATTGGCAGGGCGTGGTGGCACATGCCTGTAATCCCAGCATTTTGGGAGGCCAAGGCGGGTGGATCACCTGAGGTCTGGAGTTCGATACCAGCCTGGCCAACATGGTGAAACCCTGTCTCTACTAAAAAAATACAAAAATTAGCTGGGTGTGATGGCACGCACCTGTAATCCCAGCTACTTTGGAGGCTGATGCAGGAGAATCACTTGAATCTGGGAGGCGGAGGTAGTGAGCTGATATCGCACCACTATACTCCAACCTGGGCAACAAAGCAAGACTTGTCTCAAAAAAAGAAATTCAGTATTGACTGGTGCCTTCTTTTCCAGCTTTATGTCTGCCTTTCTGCCTCTCTCTACTTTTTCTCCTTGCCTCCTGGCAATCCCTCACCACTCTTCTACTTCCCTGCTGCTTCCTCTTTTGCTTTCCACCTTGAACATTGCCTTTCTGTTCTCCCCTATATCTCTCTGCCTTCTTCACCTCACTCTATACCTTCTTCCCACCCAGCCACCTACATGTACTGCCCATGTGATTTCCCTTATATTTTTCTCTTTTTGTTCCTGTCCCATAAAAGATCTGGGTATATATAATATATGTTATTTCACTGGAATACAAGTTAAATACAGTTTTATAGAGTTACACTAAATATTTGTTCTAGTTCATCAAATATATTAATGTCTCTTTATGAGGGATTTACTTAAATGCCAAAAGGTAATTGGGGTTATCGTGCACGTTTTCCCCCGAAAGTTGTATAAGAGCTAATGTTCAAAGACGCCACCATGTTAATTGCTGGCTTAATGGTAGGCAGCGTAGTAGAACTCAAGAAAGTGCTTGGTTAGCCTTTTCAGAATACAACCTATCACCTTGGTGAGGGAGGAAACCAATTTAAGAAGTTAAAAAGCCTCAAACATTTGCAGGTACGGTTTCTGAAGTTTGGGAAAAGGCTATTCTAAAGGATTGTTCAGAGTTCCTGCCAAAGACTAAAAACGAAACAATTTTTTGCCAGCTTCTGTGAAAACTGAAGTAGTATTTAGTAATGTGTGATAAGGTAAGGAGGAGGAGAAAGGCAGACGGTTGACTTAGTTACTTAACATCCCCTTCCCTCGGTGTTTTTTAGTATTCTGTTTTATGATCACTTGATCGTATATTTTCCTCATTCCCTGGGCTTCAGTTAAAACTCAGCATGTAAGTGTCAAACCTATGTAAATTTGAGTTTCTAAGTTTTTTTTTTAACCCCAGGGTTGTATGTGTATATGGGTATGAGGGCAGGGATAGTCCTCATTTAATGTGATGGAGGACAGGTCACTCTCCTTCCCGATTATTTCTCGGGACCACCAAGAAGTTTTTAGATTGCTCTGGTCATTGCTCTCACTTCAGAATCACTACACTGTGCTTATGGAATGGTGACTGTCATCTCTCCCAGGGGCAGGTGGTGGAGGGAACTCCCCTGTGTCCCAATCGGAAATTCAAGCTCTCCTTTTTATTCCTTCTAGCATTGCTGAGACCAGTGTACAATGGTTATTATAACTTTGCTAATGCTTAAGAACTGAGGAAAATTAGAACAGGAACAACTTCAAACTGGGTAGCAGATGTCACACTGCTCCTATATTTCATACAGGAAAATAGTCATACACTGTTTTTGTATAACAACCGTATTGAGATGTAATTCACATATACCATAAAATTCACCCTTTCAGAGCATACAATTCACTGGGTTTTAGTATATTCACAAAGTTGTGTGACCATCACCACTAATAATATACTCTCTCTAGACATCTTTTACTCTCCCTCCTTCTCCCTAGTTTGTCACCTTGCTGCAGTGGCCTGCTGCCTTTTAAATCAGAGAACTCTAAGGTTCTCTTCTAGGACTCTCAACTTTTTTGCCTTTAGCCATCATCCAATCCCCATGAAAAGTAAAAAAAAAATGTGTTGCTATCATAGTAGCCTTTCTATCCAAGGAAATTCATTCCTTTTCATTTTGTTCAGAGTTCTCTCAACCTCTCTTTCAGACCAGGCTCCAGGCCTTACTTTTACATCAATAAAACCTGAAGAGATGTCATTTCTATCTTAAATCTCTGCTTTTAATAGTGGAAATGGCAGTGGGCAGTTTTTAAAATTGCACTCCTTGTTGGTCCAAACATACATGTCTAGTGCCCGCGTCTTTCCTGAGTTTCGTCCCAGTATTTCTCTATGTCAAGGTTCATCCTCCCTTTAAAACGGCTCATCCTTGAGTTTTTAGTTCTAATAACTGTCATTTTCCTGGTCACTTGAAAGCTCTGCAGTGACTTACATTTTCTTCACTTATACCTACAGTTCCTACCATACAATGGTGGGTAAAATTCTGTAACTTTCACCTACACTAAGTCTTTTGCACCTGCTCTCTCCTTTTTTTTTTTTTTTTTTTTTGACGGAGTCTCGCCCTATCGTCAGGCTGGAGTGCAGTGGCACGATTCCGGCTCCGTTTTCCACCTTCAAGCAATTCTCCTGCCTCAGCCTCCCAAGTAGCTGGGAGTACAGGCATGCACCACCATGCCCAGCTAATTTTTTTTTGTATTTTTAATAGAGACGGGTTTCACCGTGTTGGACAGGATAGTCTCGATCTCTTGATGTCATGCCGCCCCCCTTGGCCTCCCAAAGTGCTGGGATTACAGGCGTGAGCCACTGCGCCTGGCTGCTCTCTTTTTTATTCGCATTGCTGTCACTCCATATCAGACCCTCACTTTTTTACACTCTTCTGACTTTTTCCTTGCAACTCCATTCTGTTTTACACACTGCTGCCCAATACAAGTAATTTTTCTTTTATTTCAATATAACTTCTGTTTTTTAAAATCCCTAGAAACTTCTCATTGAGTACTGAACTTAAAATACAGAATAAATACACAGAGTCCTACCCTAACATGCAAGGTCCTCAGTAAATGTCTGCAGTCTGCCTTTTTCCCTGTGTTTGTCTGCTTAACCCCAGGTATTAGCCAGACTGGTTTGGTCACTAACATTTGTGAATATGCTTTGCACCTTCCCCAGATTAAGCTTCCACTTCTCATGCTTCTGTCTCTGCATGAAATGCCCTTCTCTACCTGGTGCAGTGGCTCACGCCTGTAATCCCAGCGCTTTGGGAGGCCAAGGCAGGTGGATCACGAGGTCAGGAGTTCAAGAGCAGCCTGGCCAGGATGGTGAAATCCTGTCTCTACTAAAAATACAAAAATTAGCCAAGGTCAGTGGCAGGCACCTGCAATCCCAGCTTCTCAGGAGGCTGAGGCAGGAGAATTGCTTGAACCCAGGTGCCAGAGGTTGCAGTGAGCCAAGATCGCACCACTGCACTCCAGCCTGGGTGATAGAGTGAGACTCTGTTTCATAAAAAAAAAAAAGAAAAAAGAAAAAAAATGCAGAAATGCCCTTCTTCAGTCTGTGTGCCCTCCATTTGGCCGACCTATTGATTGGGACCCATCTCAGTACTCTGTCCTCCATGTACTTTTTCTTTATTTCCATCCTCTGCCAATTATATATATATATCTTCTTTCCTTTGAACTCCAACAGTTCTTCATGTATCTTGTTTAATAATATTTATCTTATTTGGGCACCTGCTTAATCAGCTGAACTCCCTGAGAGCAGAGGTCTAGTGCTTTAGCTTTCCTGAAACAATGGCCACAATGCCATTTATATAGTAGCAGCAGTTGTAACAACAGTGATGGCAGCTAACATTTAGTGAGCATTTACTATTTGTTAGGCAGTGTAATGATCAGTTTTCCTGAATTAACATACATTTAGCCCTTATATGCCATGAAGTAGATACTCCCCATATTGCAGATGAGGATATAGGCAAAGACAGCTTAAGTGGTTAGAAAATGGCAGAACTGGGATTTTAATGCCCTGGGTCTTACGGCTTTAGAGCCCATATTCTTACCCTTTTTGGTGTGCTGCCTTTTAGTATTCTGTAAATATGGAATTACACTGGCTGGGCATGATGGCTCATGCCTGTAATCCCAGCACTTTGGGTGGCAAAGGCAGGTGGATCACCTGAGATCAGGAGTTCAAGACTAGCCTGGCCAACATGGTGAAACCTCGTCTCTACTAAAAATTAAAAAATTAGCCAGGCGTGGTGGTGTGCACCTGTAAGTTCAGCTACTCAGGAGGCTGAGGCACAAGAGTCACTTGAACCTAGGAGGTGGAGGTTGCAATGAGCTGAGATCATGCCACTACACTCCAGCCTGGGTGACAGACAGAGTTCCGTCTCAAAAAAGAGAAAAAGAAAGACACGAAAGATATTTTCTCTGGTTTGAATAGAAACAGCAATTAGAAATAGTAATGTAGAGTGGTATTGTTATTCAAGCTTATGAATTTCAGTTCTTTTATTTATACAACAATTCATTTGACTGGATTTAGTACTGAATGTATAAATCATCTGAACACAGATTGAATATTCTCAATTGAATGTTTTCAAACTACAAATATTCCCTCATAAAGTGTATGGACTGTAGCCACTTTAGATATAAGTTCTCTGGTAGATGGGGTAAGCGATTTTGAAAGGCAGCTATCCTGATTAAAGGTTGCTCAAATTAGGAATCAAATGAAATTCTTTAAGCTTTTTTATGAGAATAACATGGGAGAGCTAAGTATTCTTAAGTGTTTTAAATACTATTTTCTGTAAATAACTTGTTCATCCTTTTTTTGTTTTCTAAAAAGCAAAGCCAGTTGTTGTTAATACAACCCCAGTGCGGATGTCAGTTCCAATTGTCTCAGCTCAGGCTGTCAAACAAGTGAGTATCACATAACTTCTTTCTCAGTCTTTCCCAAATAGACAATTTACCTTTTAAATAGAAAGTTAAGATTTAGGTACAAGAGATTTATACTTAATTGAACAGCTATAAAATTTATTTTGTGGTCATTGATACACTTCCCTTCTTTTTAGGTTGTTCCAAAACCAATCAATTCAACTTCACAAATAGTAACTACTAGCCAGCCACAGCAGCGGCTTATCATGCCTGCCACGCCACTGCCACAGATCCAGCCCAACCTCACTAACCTGCCACCAGGCACTGTCCTGGCACCGGCTCCAGGAACAGGGAATGTAGGTTATGCAGTGCTTCCAGCTCAGTATGTTACTCAGGTATGTGGAAAAAATGAAGTCATTGTATTGCAAAAGTGATAATGGGATCCAAGATGTCTAGTGCTATCCCAGAAACTAGTCAGACACATCAGACTCAGTGTTAAAGTGGCACTTTCCAGAATCTTGAAATGTTAACCCAAACCTTTGAGTTTATTTCTGTGTACCTTTAGCATTTTGAAATATACAACACAGGTCAGATATACAAGTCAGACAATTTGGAGCTGACAGCAGCTTGGCAAGAGGGCAAGGCTATGGTGATATGATGGAAAATAGATTGAAGTTAAACTCAGCAGAATCTAAATGTATTTGGAAAAGACTATAGCTGTTACAAAGCTCTTCCTCACGCATGAATTTGATGCCACTGATTTGGAAAATAAGTTAAAATTTATTTATTGGAAAATAAACTGTGAGATGCATTTCTAGGTGACTTATCTTTAGTGATCTGTCTACTCTCATCTGGTCATCTTTAGAATGAAAGACAGGGAAACAAACCCACACATGTACTTTAATGAAAGGTACTTGGGAATATGTTATGTGGCTGTTAATAAAAAGAATAGTGTTCAGTATTTTTGTCATAAGCATTTCTTAAGTTTAGAAGTTGGTGTAAAATAGAAACCCAACTATTTTGCATGTAAATTCTCATTCCTGTAATTTGTAGTGTGATAAATGATCGATATGCTACCTATTTTATTTGCAAGTAGGCACATTGCATTTTTCTAGCCAATATAAATTATTATAATACTTTGAGAGCATTCATCTAGAATTTCCTATCATTCTGACATACTTAACTCTTCTGTGAAATTATTTATTTATATTTGTACCATATAGTACTGTAAAATATTCACATTATTTTCACTTACAGTACTGGTTTGAGACTTTAAAAGATCTCTATTGTGTGAAATTCTCCATTACATTTTTCTTATTTTAGTAGATGAATATGTATTTCTTACTGAACATCATACCTGACAGTATTGTCCATTTTTGGAAATATCTAAAATTAATTTTCTTTACATGTAGCTACAGCAGTCTTCTTATGTATCAATAGCAAGCAACTCTACCTTTACTGGAACATCTGGTATCCAGACCCAGGCACGGCCTCCATTCAATGGGTGAGTATTTTGAAAATATGTACATAAGCGAAGTTGTTAGATCAGCTTAAATGCAACAATAAACATATATATTCCAGAATACATCCTCTTTGATTTTTTTTTCCCTCTTAAAGCCATGTGAGCATGCCTCTAAAATATTTTTGGAAATATTTCAAACAGAAAAATTGCAGAAATAATCAACTCCCAAATACTCTTTATTCAGATTCACCAGTTTTGCTACATTGGTTTTATTATTCTCTTTCTTTCTATATTTCCAAAATGATGATGGTAACTATTTGTTATCTTTATTTTTTGAGACAGGGTTTTGCTCTGTTGCCCAGGCTGGAATGCAGTGCTGTGAGCTTAGCTCACTGCGACTTCCACTTCCCAGGCTCAAATGATCTTTCTGCCTCAGCCTCCTGAGTAGCTGGAACTGTATATGCATGCCACCATGCTCTGCTAATTTTAAAATTTTTTTGTAGAGATGTGGTCTCACTATATTGCCCAGGCTAATCTCCAATTCCTGGGCTCAAGTGATCCTCTTGGCTCAGTCTCCCAAAGTGCTATGATTCCAGGTGTGAGCCACTGCACCTGGCCAACTATTTTTAAAATTATGTTAGGTCCTTGTTTTTTGTTGATGTTTATTTTATTTTATTTTTAATTTTTTTTAGAGAATTCTTAAGTATCATATCTGTTTATTAATTACTGCTGTTGCAATATCAGCTTAGAAGCAGTGCTTAATTACCCAGAACCAGTCCAAATCCCACTTTCAGTTCCTCCTCCACACACTCCGTTTCCTCCCTGCCTTTTATAGTTGAATCCCAAGAGTTTTGAGGCAATCTCAACCTTTGTTTTCTTAGAAGGGACAGTGTGGCATGTTCTCTAGCAGCTATTGTAAACTTCCTTTAAAAAATCATTCTGCCTGGCGCAGTGGCTCCGTGCATGTAATCCAGCACTTTGGGAGGCCGAGATGGGCGGATCATGAGGTCAAGAGATTGAGACCATTCTGGCAAACATGGTGAAACCCCGTCTCCACTAAAAATACAAAAATTAGCTGGGCATGGTGGCGGGCACCTGTAGTCCCAGCTACTTGGGAGGCTGAGGCAGGAGAATTGCTTGAACCCAGAAGGTGGAGCTTGTAGTGAGCCGAGATTGCGCCACTGCACTCAAGCCTGGAGACACAGAGCAAGACTCCATCTCAAAAAAAAAAAAGAAAAAAAAAAATCATTCCGCATCTTGTCTACCTCTTTTTATGTTATAACTTGCCTTGGAACCCAATATAAATGAAGCAACATAGCAAACTTTTTATTTTAGATGGACACATTTGTTAAAGCTTTATTTCTGGAGGGATTTATAGATTGGAGACTTTTCTAATTTTAAATTAGTTTTGGGTCTCAATTTTTAAATTTTAAATTATTTGTAGCCACTAAATTAATTTTAGTTACTATTAATTGATTAAATGTATTTTTTTGTGTGTCTGCACAGCATAATTCCATCAGAGTCTGCCAGTCGGCCCCGAAAGCCCTGTAATTGTACGAAATCACTGTGTTTGAAATTGTAAGTGTTTTTGCCACTGTTTGCTCATTTAATATAATTAGAAATGCTCTTAGAAGCAAATGGAGTTAACTAAAAATTTTTAGCAGACCAAAGTTCGTAAGTCTAAGTAATTTATGTAAACAAACAAGTGAATGTTTACACACATGTGACAGTGTAAAAATATTATTTCATTCATTCAGAAAGAAATATTTAGAGTCCTTACTGTACATGGATCACAGGAGTAGGGGTTAGGGACACAGCAGCATGAGACAGACATAGCTTCTGCCCTTAATAATAATTTTATCTTATTTATGAGTTTTGTATTTGGTCCCTTAAGTGAAGTGAAACTAAGTAGTTTTAAAAATCATTGAATGGTTAATTTGCTTATTAGCATTAAACAAAAAGATCCGACATGAAATAGTTAAATGAAAAGCATTGGTCTTACTGGGTTGTAGAATCCAAAGTACTACTACTATAACGCAGATGAGCCAGTTCCACTATTAGAATAGAACCAGTCTTTTTCCTTTTTCAGAATTTTGAAATGCCTTACTTTGGGGGCACATAAAATTATATAGCCCTTGTGTTGACGGCTGTTATTGGTTGAACTAAGTTTTTGGGCCAAAATTCTAGGATTTGGTGATACAAACTTTGAGTCTTAGTATGTGGTTAACAATATGTGTTGTTAACTCTTCAACTGGGTAGCTGAGTACATCTCTAAAATGCTTTGCCATATATATAGTATGTGTACAATACATATATACACATACAATGTATGCATGTATACTCAGGTAATTAGTAGTTTTACTTAATAATGACTCTTTACCTTATACTGACTTTACCTTTCAGATATTGTGATTGCTTTGCAAATGGTGAATTTTGCAACAACTGCAATTGTACTAATTGTTATAACAATTTGGAACATGAAAATGAAAGGCAAAAAGCAATAAAGGTGATTTTTTTAAATTTCATATCCAGTTTCATGAGTTTTTTAAATAACCCCAATTGTCTTGCAAAGTAACATATTTATTCTTTTTGCAGTGTTTAAATTTTATCTACTATGATTTAACTCTAACTGATATTTGATCTATTTTGCTAGGCGTGCCTTGACAGAAATCCAGAAGCCTTTAAGCCTAAGATAGGGAAAGGAAAAGAGGGTGAATCAGATCGACGTCATAGCAAAGGATGTAATTGCAAACGATCAGGATGTCTTAAAAACTACTGTGAATGCTATGAGGTGAGATGCTGGGTGGGGAAAATAACCTCCTTTAAAAACAGTTTCAGAAAGGACATACTACAAAAATTTACTTGAAAATTGGGAAATCACCTTGCTATTGCAGTTTGAAAATAGGCACAGTTGATGTAAAGGCCCTTGTTTGAGGAAGGCCTTCAAGCCTCCCTAGGACAGCTTCAGAGGAATACTTTGGGCTTATTATTACAGCCTGCGATATTATGGGGTGATTTACCATAACTTCTTTGTTATTATGCCAGAAGTATGCAGATTGGAACACCAATATATTGATTTTCAATAAAAATAATAATATCAAAGTGGATTGGAAGCTCTCCAGAAGTGATTCTCACCTAAGGGGCAGTTCTAATTACTGTTCTTCACAGGATTCTTGGAAACATATGGCTGCGCGCGTGTCTCATGCCTGTAATCCCAGCACTTTGGGAGGTGGAAGCGGGTAGATCACTTGAGGTCAGGAGTTTGAGACCAACCTGGCCAACATGGTGAAACTCTGTCTATACTAAAATACAAAAATTAGCTGGGCATGGTGGTGAGCGCCTGTAATCTCAGCTACTTCAGAGGCCGAGGCACGAGAATCACTTGAACCCAGAAGGCAGAGGTTGAAGTGAGCTGAGATTGTGCCACTGCACTCCAGCCTGGGTGACAGAGCAAGACTCTGTCTCCCCCCCACCACCAAAAAAAAAATACATATATGGATACATACATGTATATATATATTTATGGATATATATATATATATATATATATATATATATATGGATACAAAATAGCTTGCATCCCAGGGTGCAGTCTGGAAATTAAAGGATTATCTTGACCAAAATGCTGGTAGTGCCCACTCAAAGAGCACTGCTCTGTGAAAAACTAAAGTAGTTAAGAAGTTTGCTTTGTGAGCATAAACATAGGAAAGGGGGATCTGGCATATTGCTAGATGAGGTTACTGGTCACGGTAGGCGATTGTCTCCATTTTCACTGTTTCATTTTTCCATTCAGTTGGTTATTTTTATTTATAGATCAGGCAACTTCTTTGGAAGCTACCACACCTGGCTAATTTTTGTATTTTTAGTAGAGATGGGGTTTCACCACGTTGGTCAGGCTAGTCTCGAACTCCTGACCTTGTGACCTGCCCACCTCGGCCTTCCAAAGTGCTGAGATTACAGGAGTAAGCCACTGCATCCAGCCACAAGTTAATTTTTTAAACTGTCTTAAGTAACATCTCCAAATCCAACAAGCAGTTTTTATCTGCTCTGAAAAATGCCATATAAATCTTCCCCTTCTTGCTTTAGACACAGTACTATATAGTTTTATTTTAAAGGCTTGTGTATAATAATCTAGTCATTGAGATTAACCGTAGGTTACCATAATTGATTTCTTGGTATGCCTGAAACTATTTACTTACTGACAGTCTTTTGGGTGGTTGAGTTATTCCCGTTCTTGGCTCTTCTCATACTCTCATATATTTTTATTCTTATTCTCAGAGACAGTATGTATGTATGTATGCCTGTATGTATGTATGGGCAGAAAGCCTACCTTTGCACTTGCTAAAATAATACCACCAGTGGCCACACTGTGCCTTGGTAAGGTTTGCCCTGCTACAGGACTATGCCCTCCAGTTCAGTGCCCTCTCCCATTCAGCATGTGTCATATGAAATATTTTGTGTATTGCACACATTCTGCACATGTACCCCAGAACTTAAGCTATAATTTTAAAAAAGAAAGATTTTGTGTATTGCATTCTCTGTGTAATGAATTCTTTCCTAATCTACTTATTTAAAAGGTCAAATATTCCTCTCAGGAAGTAAAGTAGAATAGGAGAGCAACAGCTTGTGAGTTCTGCAGATGATGAATGAAAATTGCATAAAGAGACAAGTTTATTATTATTTATTGTTGTTGTTGTTGTTTTTTGAGACAGAGTCTCTCTGCATGTAGGCAAACATTAAAAAAAAAGAGAGACGGCCGGGCGCGGTGGCTCAAGCCTGTAATCCCAGCACTTTGGGAGGCTGAGGCGGGTGGATCACGAGGTCAAGAGATCGAGACCATCCTGGTCAACACGGTGAAACCCCGTCTCTAC